TCCTTCAGATTCATTACTATCCAACTTACAGTCCCCATTTCTGCCTTCCAAAATCTGGGATTGCTGTTGAACCTTTATGTTTCCCTAGCATGTATAATGTTATGGGATTTGAAATGTGGTCCTCTTGCTTGCACAGAAGGTACTTTATTCACTAAGTCATCTATAGCCCTGGAGACTGTATTGATAATTTTTATCATTGCAAATATGGTGAAGTTCAATGTTAGTATGTTATTTGTTAATACTTAAATATATTTTTTAAAAGTACGTTTGTGAATAGTAGTGATTTAGCTTTAGATTTTGATCTCTGTATCCAAGCCAAGATCAAGGGAGACAAATGAGTCAATGTTTTATCTGGTGCTAGACTTTTCTCCTTTCTTAATGGCCAAAGTATAAATTCCGGTCTAATTAAATTATACAATATATAATGTATTCATTGAGAATGTAGTATTCTGTTTGGTTCTTGTAGTCAGAACCTAAGAATAATCTTTTATTTATCATCATAATTTTGAGAAAAGTATTGCAAACCAATATACTTTATCCTATCTAAAATTTGAAGTGCTATGTAAAAATATATCTTCAATTTATTTGAATACATATATATGTCATATTTGATATAGTGACTTAATACTCTACTTTTAAATCATAGACCTGTGATGGGTTATTTTTTAGAAGCTTTTATTATTCTGTTGAGGGAATTTTGTTCAGCCCCTTTTAATTCAAATCCAGCATCACGGAAGCATTTCCTATCTAGAAATGAAACAGTTCTCCTTTTTCTCCCAAGACTTATAAAATTGATCACCAGCTCTTTCAGGCAATATAGCTATTATTTTCTCTTCCCTCCAGAGAGGAGGAGATGTCTACTACTTCATAGGCTTGTGGGAAAAGTTGTAAAGGCTTCATGGAGTTCCTGCCACAGTGGTAGAATTCTTCTTTTCTGAGTAGCGAAGATTTTTTCCCAAGCTAAATAATACTAGTACTTAAGTAGCTTGAGTTGGTACGCATATTATAATTTTATGGCATAAATTTACATTACATGAATGTCATGACATTTATAAATCATCACTAGCAATATTAAATTTTAATAGAAGTTTGATATTTTAAAGGAAGCCCACAGTAAGACTGATGGACTATATGGATAACTCAACTTTATCTGAAAAATGTAAGTTAACATCTTTGACTAACTGTCTTGCTATCTTTTTTATAAATTTTATGAAAATTAAAAAAAATACATATTCCATGCAACCAGCACAATAGACATTGTTTTTTAATAGTATTTTGTTTTCCAATATATTCAAATTTCAGGTTTTTAGTTATTTCATCATAACACTCAGAAACTTCATGTAGAATTATTTTTGATTATGAATTGAGTTAGTACCAATGTAGCTTAGTTTATATTCTTTCCATATCCTTGTGTACTGAGCTGAACTTTTCAGAGATGATTTATTGTATTTAGTATACTTGAAGGCTTATGAGCCAATCAGCCTGAAGGCCTCTAAAATCCTTTTATGTTTTATATGAAACACTCCATACTGACCATTGAATAATACATACAATTTACAGATGCTACCTCATCACAGTCATAGACTGTAATACATAAGGAATCATCTTTTTCTGCCTTCTCTAGGAAAATCACATTTCTCATATTAAAGAAACTAAGAACTTCATCTATCTTGCTATTAGAAACATTCATTCTGAAGTGGCCATACAAAAATATTTAGAATACTTATGCTGGTTTTGGCAACTGAAGCAATATTTACAATGATAATTCTAATTGTGCTTAAAAGTATGAGGAATAAAAAGATAATTTTAAAAGAGCTTTTTATTTTTTGTTTGTTTTTGTTTTTTATCAAGCCAATGTAGAAGCCTAGGTCCTTGAGCATATTAGTCAAATTTTATTCACTTATAGGAAATAAGACTGTTAGTAAACAGCTGTAAAATTGGAATTTAAAGAACAGAATGAAGTTGGCAAGGAATTAAATTTAAGAAAGTTTTGTGTGAACACAAGCAAATGTAAATAAAAAGATTTAGAAGATTCACAATATATAATTTGATTAGACTGGAATTTATACTTTCACCATTAGAAAGGAGAAAAGTCTAGCACCAGATAAAGCATTGGCTCCCTTGATCTTGGCTTGGATATTTTCTCTCCTAAAAGTTATTTACAAGGACTTGGTAGGGGTAGGTCACACCAGAGGAAAAATAATATATATTTTCAAACTACATATTTTGCATTATTTAGATGAACAATAAGAATTCAAGAACACTTCTATTATATATGAAATAAATAACTTCATCCATCATAACAAAGAAAAATGTTATATACTCTAATAAACTTCAAAATGTAACTAAGTCCAAGTAAAATTAAGAGATGAAACTTGTAAATTACTTCCTTTTAAAAATTATCTTTCAGCCGGGCGGTGGTGGCGCACGCCTTTAATCCCAGCACTCGGGAGGCAGAGGCACGCGGATCTTTGTGCGTTCGAGGCCAGGCTGGACCGATAGCCTCCGAAACAATACAGAGAAACCCTGTCTCGTAAAAACCAAAAAAAAAAAAATTATCTTTCATACAATATGTTTGATCATATTCTTCCTTTCCCCTAACTCTTCCCACATAATCCTCACCTCCCTAACTTATTTCTCATTTTCTCTCTCCCTCTTCCTGTTTTTTCTCTCTCTCACTCAAAAAAATAGAAAATAATACCAAACTAACTAATAATAAAAACAAATCATGACAAAATATAGCAAAAACAACAAACAAACAAACAAAGTCAACCAAAACCAAATCCTCAAAAACAACAAAGCAAATCATCAGACAAACTTTGTGTTAGTCAACTTCTTTCTTTCTGGGCCTGTGGCCTACCCTGGTGGTTGGCTTCTCTGGTGACATTCCATTGGAGAAAACTGATTTTGCCTTTCTTAGCAGTTTTCAATGGTAACTAGCTTCTTGTTTAGAGGTGGGACTGTTTGTCTACTTTCCCTTCTCCCTGAATCGATTTTGATGTTTTGAATTGAGGAAACAGTGTCATCTACACAGAACAGGGCTGATACAAATATAACCTCAAATTATTCCACTTTTTTTCTCAGTTTTTCTTTACAAGACATATTCCATAGTTCCTACAATAATGTACAGATCTTTTCCAGGTTTTTACTAAAGTTTGTCTAAACGGTGTTTTTATAACTACAAAAGGAAGTGGGCAATATAGCTTCAATGTAGATGAAGATTTATGTTGTCTTTGAGGCCAGAAAACATTTCCCAAGTCATGTTTCCACCAAATATTCTCTGGCTCACCAGGAACACTGATTTTATTGTGTTCCTGAAGATAGAACTTTGAATTTCATTTGCTCAGTGTAGAATGATCATTCTTACCAGTGCTTACTGCTTAGAGGTACTATTAGATGACATTTTTTTTCATGCCCTACACCTCTCAGGGGCAGCACAATAGAATTGAACCTGTTGGGGATGTAGGGAAGCCAGCTCAAAGTTGTGATCATGGGAGAGCTATTCCTAGTACTTATTTGTCTTATGGGTGGCATGGATTAGGGAGAGATGCCCTCAAAGTCCGTTCCCCCATGACTACCACCCACAAAGACCAGAGGCAGATAGGAGAGTTTGCCCTGAGGTCATAAGAGCAGGACTGCAGCTCTTGCTGCCCCACCACTGAAACACTCAGGAGATCAGGCTATGAACCTGGCCTGGGTAGCACAAAAGAACCAAATATGCTGGCAGGGTGTGGGTTAGCCAGTCCCGAAGCTGTGCGTGTGGAAGACTACTCGTGTGTCATGCAGAGGTGTGGATGGGGGAGAGACGCACCCCTTTATCCCTTGCCCCTTACTTCTTACAACAGACCAAGTTGATCACCCCCCTCACCAGCTGAAGTATTGGTGAAAGTAGGCCCTGCACCTTACCTGGTCAGCACAATAGAGATGACCCTGATGGTGGAGGTGTGGGCAGCCAGCCCCAGAGTTGTCAGCGTGGAAGAACTGTTCCTATTAATTATTTGTCATGTGGCAGCATGGGTGGGAAAGAGATGCCCTCCCTGACCCTACCCATCAAGGCCTGAGGCAGGTAGAAGAGCTGGTCCTAAGGTTCAAAGTGCTGGAGAGCTGTCCCTGTTCCTCATCAGCTGCAGCAGTCGGGAGAGTGACCCTTACACCTCACCTGGACACCATAATAGAGCTAGCTTTGAAGGTGTAGATGTTGAAGAACCAACCCTGAGGTTGCAAAAGTGGGAGAGTCCCATTGAGGGCCCAGAATTGATTGTGTAGCAGAGACCAGGGACCTGAAACTAGAGCAATGATTCTTTGCCATGAAAGCCTGCATGTAATAACGTGTGAATAAAGGGTTTACTGAACTACTCACTGTGTTACACTGCAGCTTCCATGATAAGATATTTTTCCTTTGTTACCTATTTTGTCCTTGTTTTCATTTAAATTTTATTATGCTTTATTCTGGGGAGTGGTTTGATTGGGATTGAGAAGCATGATGTGAATCACACAGAGAAGAAATATAAAGAGAGTTAAAGAATAATTATAAGAAAACTTCTTTAATGCATTTTTATGTAGGAGAAGCTAGTTTTTTAAAGACTGTGAAACTCCCAAGACATCTCTGCCCAGCTATGGTATCCAAAATGGTGAGCTTCAGGTTTAGTGAGAAATCATCTCAGCGAAACAGGGCAAGACTGATAGAGCAGGATCCTTGATGTCTACCTGGGGCCTCTTCATAAAGTCAAGCACATGCATGTGAACACCCCCCCACACACAACATAAATAAGAAAGCAAGCAAAAATATAAATTAATAAATAAATAAATTTTCATGAAGAGACATCAGTTGTATACAATATAATATAGCACGATATTCTATAGGTCAGTGCATACTTGTATGAAATACAGACTATTATTACAATGACACTGGCAGAGTAGGTACACTCAGTTTGTCTAATATTTTATGAGGTAAACAACAAATTTCTTTCCTAAATGAGTAAGTTCACCAATTTATTTGTAAGAGGAGAGTATGAATAGAGTTCCCCCTTTCTCAAATTGTGTAGTTGATTTTCATGAATTTGGAAAAATTGCAGGAATTAGTACATCCTGAGTACAATGAATTAGTCTTACCCCAAGAATCCCACCTTCATGATATTTGGATGTCACCTGCTAGGTAAACATGTGCTCACCGCTGTTAAGAATTTTGAATTATGCCAATAAAACATGTCATCTATATGTATGTGCTGAAAATAACCATCTTTTATTTCATATGTGTAAGTATTTTGTATATTTTCCATCAGCTATTTATTCCATTCTCTAACCTGTCCTTGCACTTGAAATTATGTATCAGAAAATAGGGAAGTTTAAAGAGCTCACCTTGCTCTACATTTTGTTGTTGTTGGTCAATGACCCATGCGCAGTTTGAAGCTTTAATAGATGATGGAGGTCTAGAAGTTCAGTTTATGATACGACTAATGTTTCAAGATTTGAAGAATAAATTACTCTTGAAAGATGACACTGCTGTAATAATGGGTGTGAGAAAATGAGTTCCATGTTCTGTCATTAGATGTGTAATTTCAAGAATAATGAAGACTAAATCCTAATACCTGCAGTGTAAGTGGAGAGGAGTTTGGCTGTTTACTGACAGAATCACAGTTTGGCTTTGACAACTTTTCAGAAGGCTGATGGTTTATGTAAAAAATCTAGATCATCGAAAGAGTTCTACAAAACCATTTTCATCACACTTTACAGCTTATTGGAAATTTCTTGACAGTTGAATGCATCAAAAGTGACAACCAACAATTAGTAGCATTTCTCCTCACTATAGACTCAAAGAAAAAATACTGACTACAACCAGCATTTAAGACCCCAGGATATGTAATTGTTTTGTTTTTTTTCTCTTAAGAAGATATCAATTGAGATTAACAAAGCAACATGGGTTACTATATTTCTATTCATAATTGAAGGAATATATGAAAAACTCAGAGTCAGATCCTAACAATGAAGAGTTAATGCTGTACAACCAGTGTCTTTAACAATGCTGTGAATTACTCTTCAGGGAGCAAATCCTATTTAATATTACATTGTATTATAAAATTAAAATTTCCTAATGATTTCAATAGGTAGTATTTAAGTTTTTGGAATTTCTAAAGTTAAAAGAATAAATATAAATTATTTTCAGTATATAAAATATTAACAAATCATTACAACTTGAAATGTTTGTTTGTAACTTACTATTTTGACATTGCGATTATAAACTCACATAATACACTTAAGTGAGAGTCCTCTATGAAAAGGTAAAAATTGAAGAACCTGTGATTATGAATGTGATTTGGGAATGGGACATAGACATGTTTTATAGTACAAGCATTAAAACTGAAATCTCTGCTGATATGGAATGTAAATAACAGCCAAATTTGTTTTGCTTTAGGGAGTAACTTTAAGACAGGAGAGAATATCAGAAAGATGCTACAAAACTTTCTATTTGTAGGTATTCATAATAAAAATAATGGAAATAATATGATCATTCCCATCAAAATTCCAATGCAGTTATTCACAGATACTGAAAGGACAATTTCCATCTTCATATGGACACACACACACACACACACACACACACACACACTCACCAACAAAACAAAACAGGGTAGGTAAAATTTCCTAAATAATAAAAGAACTTCTGGAGGTATCACCATCACTAACCTTAGATCATATTATAGACAGCATAGTATTGGCATAAAAACAGACAAATTGATGAATGAAAATGAATAGAAGACCCAGATACAGGTCCACACATATATGAACACCTGATATTTTTTATAAAGAACCCAGAAACACACACTGGAAATATGACATCATCTTCAACAAATGGTGTTGATCAAACAGGAAGGTTACATGTAAATCCAAATAGATCCATTCTCATCACCCTGCCTAAAACAACCTTCAAGGAATCATAGACCTGAAAATAAAATCAGTACAATGAATCTGATGGAATAAAAAGTAAGGATTAGCCTTAAAATCATTGGCATAGGAAAAGACATTGTGAACAGAAACCATTAGTACACGAAATAAGATTAGCACTTAATGAATGAGAAGACATGAAACTGAAAAGTATGGAGAAGGACACCATCAATTAGACAATGCAGCATGCTGCAGAATGGAAAAAAATTGGTACCAACTGCAAATCTTGATAGAGGACTAATATCTAAATTAAAAAAATTGTATACCCCTCAAATAATAAACAGGGAAATCTCAAAAGAAGAAACACAAGTTGTTGAGAAACACTTAAAGAAATATTCAACTCCCTTAGTCATCAGGGAAATACAAATCAAAGCTACTTTGTGATTTTATCATACACTAGTCTGAATGGTCAATAATCAATAAACCACAGCTCATTTGTTGAAGATGTGGAGTAAATGAAGTATACATCCATAGGTTTCGTATATAATAAGCAACTGCGAGAAGGATCGGATTACCCTAGGAAGGGAAAATAGAAGAAATAGTTAACAACAGGTAGGGAAGGGAAAAGACTGGGAAAGTAGGCTCACATGGGGATGGAGTAAAGGGAAGTGAAGAAAATAGGGATGGGATAGTTACAACATGGAAACCTAACACAGTGGAAGTTTTCTAAAATATACATATGTGAAGCCTAAATGGGATAACCAAATAATGGGGTGACAAAATCCAAACTTGGCATCTGTAGCCACCAAGGAAGCCTCCAGTTCTGGACAGAGGTTACATCTAGGTTTTTGGTCAAAGCAGCCTCATGGCAAACTCCAAAGAACTCAGCCTATTTCCAAGGTTATTGGTTGCTTTCCACAAACAGAAGGGGAGGTGAGTCTCTGTTACTGAAGACAACACTTATACAACTAATTGAACACAGAGAAATGGAGTTGGGGCCTTGACTGTACTGACTAGTGTTCATGGTAACGAACGGTACCCTCCATGCTAATAAAGGAGACAGGAAAATACAACACGGTTATAAATCATTTGATCGGCTCCCACTTAGGGCAGAAGGCAGAGGTGAGCTATTTCCTTCCACTCCCCCGCTCTGGTATCTCCAGGCCTGTGACATTAGTCAGCTCGACTTGCCCCAGAAGGATCTAGTGACCAGGAGCCTACTGCGAGAGCAGGTCTACTCCTGCCCCGACTCAGGACAGAAGGCAGAGGGCAGATTGAAGATTGCAGAGCTCCCACCCACCTGGAGAGGCAGTGCCTCAGACCTGTCTGCAGACACCATAAGACCTGTCAGTGTACTGGACCTGCTTACACCCACCAATCTGACCTGAATATTGATTATCTACTAAAAACTTGGAAATACCTTATTAAGTTGCTGTGAGGAATTAATATGTAACTGTATAGTTCATTTGGTATAATGAGATATCAGGTTGTAATACCATGAACATTTCTGTAAACATTTTGTTGTTGTTATTGTTGGATATGCATCTGTCCAAAATTAGAGACCCAAGGATGGCTACAAGCTAGATAACAAGGACCTCACGCCTACAGCTTTAAACAACTGTGCTCTGTCAACAGGCATATACACTTGGAAGAAGCACCTAAAATTTAGGAAAGAGTGGAGTCTTGCCAATAGTTTGATTGATTTAAGTCGACTGAGATCCCAAGAAAAATATTTGCCTAACCAGAACCTGGAATCTAGGCCAAGAAAACTCAAAGGTAATAAATATGTTATTTTTAAAATGCTGTGGTGTGAGTTTCAATGATGACCTCTGTAAACTGTAAAGTAGAGGTACTTTGGAAGAGGACACATTGCCCTTTGTGAGCAGCTGACCTAGGTAGGCTCCCCAACACAGGAGTGCCTTTTCTTCCTTCTTCACATAAACCCCCCAGTTATAATCTGAGAGTGGTAGGGGTGTTTGGAAAAAGTTAACTCTGCTAAACGCTGTAATTGGTGTGTTTTTGGTGTCCATGCTCAGCATATCGACTAGGCAAAATGCCTTTAAGAAGAGTTGGGCATTTTGCTCAGCAGAGAATGCTTACCTATGTGTGAAAGGCTCTCACTATAGTTCCCCACAACAGAACAAAAACATAATTAAATAAAAACATACAAACCAGGATTGGTGGTATAAGCCTGTAATTCCTACGATTCAGGTGATGATCTAGGAGAACCAAGAGTTACAAACTCAATTGGGGTATATTGTGAAGTCAAGCTAGGCCTGATTGACAAGTCTTTAGTGTAGTCCTTGAAACCAAACCAAACAAAATTAAAACAAATACACAAAATTTTCTTTAAGGAGGATCATTTTATCTATGATTTGGTGGGATTAACCAATGCAAGATTCTTCAGGGTCTCAATGGGATGCATATTTTGGTTTTGTTAGAGTTGCAAATAAGTGTATTTTATGGATTCTTTGCAGATTTTGCAAAGAAAATTATGGTTGTCTGATTCAAATAGAAAATGCAAATTATAAACTTTGTCAAAATTCTGTGAGATTTTAACAAATTAAAACATTTTCTTTTTTACCTTGATAATTAAGAAGCACATACAATATATTTTTATAATATGAAGAATAATAATTTTGAAATGTGAGTTATATTATTCACTTTCCTAATCTGGCCTTTGATTTAATTTCTCATTGATTTTTATGACATTGTTGTTAATCAATACCACTGCTAAAACTTTAATATATATGAAAATATATGCATACATATATTTGATATTAAAAGAAGAAAATGCTATAAATATTTTCCAAAAATACATTAAAATGTATTTACAGTTAAGTAAAAAAATAATAATAAAACACTACATTCATTATTATGACAAATAGTATTGTGAATTATTTCTTCATTGTAAATCATGTGAGTTAGTATACATGATAAAACAATTTAGAGAAAGAAAACATTTTGGTTTGTGGTTTTAGACTTGCTTGGCTCCACTGCATGGTGTCATGATGGGAACAACAAGCTGATCTTTTCATAGATATTGGGAAGCCAAAGAAAAAGACACAGGAAGAAGCCCAAATTCCAAAATTTCCCTCACCTGTGAAACCACAGTTCCCATTGACTTGGCCCTACTTCTTAAAAGTTCCATTATTTACTAGGCATTTTCCAGAGTGGCAACCAAATTTTACACATGTTTATATGTGTAATTTAATTTTTCAGATCTTTTCCTGTGAAATAGAAAGTATAAAATTGGAGTCTATGTCAAACACAAAAATATTCCATACTTTCAAATTTACAGTGAAATACAAGATTGTGGAGTAAAGAAGGCATATCCTTTACAGAGAATATGTGTAAGACATCATGCTAAGGACTATTTGATCTTTCATATAACAATTATTGGATCATTTAAAAATATGATCCTTTGGAATTATAATTTGTTACATAGGATTTCTTGGGTAAAATCTACTTATTTTTCCTCAATTTATTAGTAAGAATTATTTTATGAGTATTTTTGTACTAAGAATATTCCTAATTTGATCAGAGGAAGGCCTTGCTGATACCCATAGATCTGAAGAATGGTTGTCGTTATACACAACACTTCATCCACTCCTTACACATTTACTCAAGGATCCCTCTGATCTCCACAGGGGCAAATTTGGGTTTAAATTATGCACAGTGGAAAAACAATGTTTTCAAAGGTAGATCAATGAATCTAAACTAACCCAATAGAAGTATATTAGTGAACCAATTTACGTTAACAAAATGAATTAACATGTTGGAAGGAATTGGGTGACTGATGTGACTGAAAAATTAATTGATTAAATACATTTAGACATATAAGCTGACAAAGTGAAATGACTGTTACCTGATTCTATAGCAGACTGTGACAAAAAATGATTGCTGAAATACCATGGATCTGAGACCATTCTCTTCTAAAATTAACCTCCCTCTATTACATCATTTCCGTTATGTATTGTGATCACAGCAACAAAAAGATAAAAGATAACTAATACAAATGGGAATTTATTATAAAACAAGAATCTAACCTATGGCCATCTTCCTTTAGGAATTCCATGGGTACAGTGCTGTATATAGTCAATATCTAACACTGAGATTATGGATGTTAGATCACAAAATGGCACTGTTTTGTCAATTACCTTTATTACCCAATGTAAACATTATATTACATTCAAACATAGGCAAAATATATTTACATATACATTGTGCATTTTAGTTCAAAAGTACTTCAGATTACAGCTATACATATTGAGAGAAGTTTTTTTGCATTTTACACAAAAGGAATAATTGTTTACCAAATGTAAATTCTACACTGTGGGTGTCAAAGTTAGAGCATGCAGCAGGGATTTTTAAGTACTTCTGCATAATGAATTATTTTTGTTCCTTAGAAAATACTAAAATGTTCAGCATTTTTAAAACAAACGACCTAAAAAATGCCCTTGGCACTATTATGTGACTAATCAATTGGCATGTTTAGAAAAAAATATAATGCCAGGCAATTTCTGTTCCTTATGTAGGGCAATTAAACTGTGTCATTTGGTATAATTGTCAATTATATTAAGGATTCTTCTAAAAATCATGAATTTCATGATTATTATTACCATCATTACCATCAAAATTTTCCAAAAAATAGTGTACTGTAGTAAATTCTATTATACTTAAATGAATCAAAGCCAAATGCAATCTTGAGGTTAGAGAAAATTGGCCTTCTGTATCTTAGCATTTGTGCCTGTGGTTCAAATAAATTTTGAGCATTTTAAAGACATTACAGCTACTAATATGAAATAGAATTAGGTAGAAAGCAAATGTTCTAGAGAACACAGTATAAGAATCTCCATCACCATATTTAGGAATTATATTTATATAATAAGCTTCATTTTTGCTGTGGAAATACACTTTGAAGGAGTACATCATAATAGCTTATGGGTCTGAAGGTTACTTCATTGTTAGATTACTCAAAATGATTAAATGAATAACTATTAAAAGTGTTATATAATTGTAGTTTCTGAAAATGATTTTATAAATAATCATTTCATGTAATTCCAACTGGTACACTGAAGTTAACAAGTGAATTAAAATCATCCCTTTTCAACAGCTGACCAGACAAAGGTTAACTCTTGAATCCCAGGCATTAGCCTGGGAATCCAGCATGGGACTGATCAAGACCCCCTGAATCTGGGTGTCAGTGAAGAGGCCTAGGGAATCTATTGAGCCTTGGGCAGCAGATCAGTACCCATCCCAAGTATACACACGGACTTTGGACTCCCATAGAACAATGTGAGGTGCACTCTCACCCTGAACTCTTGGGGAAGGGTCTAGGCCCTGCCCTATATGAAATGACACACTATGCACACCCCCATGGAGGGCCTCACCCTCCCTGGAGAAATGAGGGGATAACGGGGGGGGGGGGAGGGCACGGGAGGAAGGGAGGGAATGGGAGAGGGACCTGGAACTGACTTGTGAAGCAACCTTGTTTCTTATCTAAATTTAAACTGGAAAATAAAATTAAAAAAAAAAAAGAAGAGAAGGGGCTAGAGGAAAAAAAAATCATCCCTTTTCTAATAGAATTTGATTTTAAATAATTACATTTATAAGCAATAATTATTTACTATAGATTGTATACGAATCATTTGGTATTAAAATTTTTCTTTGGTCTTATTTAGTATCCTTACTGAATTATGAATCAGAGTTCCTCACATCAACTTACTGGCTTCTTTTAAGCTTCCTTCTCCTAAGTTTTGGTGTATATATTAACTTATCTAGAATGAATAAATTAAAGTTAAAGAAAAGTAGGTGATATAAGATAACTCTCTACTTCACATCCGAGTTAATTTAATGTATGGAATTCCTAAATTCTCTATGTTTAAAATGGTCAAGAATATGTGATATAAATCATAAATTGATGACATGCGAATTGATTGGAAACCTTTGATGTTTCTTCATAAAATGAGTTATTGTCTGCTTATGACAATCCTCCGATTGCAATCTACTTCCACTTTATAATCCTCTCTCCACCCAGCCATAAGGGTAACAAAATGCATTCTCATTAGAACTGTGGCCTGCATCTCAGGAGGGAATTCATGCAAAGTGTTGTAGAAGTAGTCAAATGACAATGACTGGGAATTGATCAGCCCTAGTAATAAACTTAGAGCTTTTGTATGTGTTTTCAAATGGCCTCTGAAACATTAATACTATACACATAAACTAGTGCTATTCTCATGCTTATTTTAAAAAGCTTATTCTTGCATGAAAAGGTAGTTATATGGAAAGTTATGTCTTGTCAAGAAGTTGAGAACAAGTGATGTTTGAATAATCAACCTTGAATGGAAACACATAGTGCTTCCTACAAGGTTAAATACATACTACAGAATCAGAGGCAGAAAGAATGTAAGACATTGGGCGAGAGGACTATAAAATACTTTTTTGAAGAGATGACATGACTATGGCATTCATGAATTCATATTAGGTATAACTGTCTCCATAAGACTGGCACAAAACTCATCCCAATAACATTCAGTCATACATGAGAGGGAAGTTACGGAGTTGAGCCTCACCCAAGAGACTTTAGTCAAGAACTGAAGGAGAAGTCACTGTCCTTACTGATAAAGCATACCCAAGTAAACCACTCTGGTTAAACGAGTGGATCACAAAATAAAAACACAACAAAGAGAGAAATAAAATACAAACTTGATAGGAGGGGGAAATTGTGGGGTTGGGAGCAAGATGAAAGGAAGCAGAGAAATGAATGTGACTAG